AATTTTCATAACTTCCTGCTATTCCATATTTACTGCACTCAAATACCTCTTCCAAACAACTATTTGTATGCTCTGCTGGCTTACTTTTGCTGTCCCTTGGGAACTACCAATGAAAGGGTTTACAACCCAGCAGCGCCAAGAAATTCGCATTACCGGTCTCTTAGCCCAAAAACCAGAATGTATGAAAATTTCCACTTCATTAGTTTTCTTAGTGCTCTGCGTATTATATCCATTATCTTTTACCACTCCTACTCGTATAGCGCACCATAATTGGTCGGAGCACCCGATTCTAAAAATCATTGGAAACTGTTCTAACTGTTTTAGTGGATGCGACGTTCCATTTTTTGGCTTTTTTATTGAAGCAAGTTCACCAGCTGATTTTAAGGATACAAAAAGATTCACATTTATGTTTGAGATTTTCGATATACGGGTTTGGAAAGTTTGTTCATGCATTCTGATTCAGTCCTTAGTAGCTCCCAAGAAGAACGACCTATGAACAAGCTATGAAGTGATATGACCCTATAAACCATCGCAAATAACTTCCAAAGTAAACAACGTCAATATAAATGAAGAAGGAAGTAGAATTGAGTCAGTTCTCATCATTGGGCTTCTTCAAGGCGGTTGCGAGTGGATCTTTCAATCCACACGGCACTATCGATGCTGCCCATTATTAACATTACACTAGTTGTGCGTCTTCGACTATTTGGCATGGAATCGTCTCTCTTAATAAGCATTTCCAGAGATTGTCTATATTCATAATACATATATCCCTATTTCTATGGACTACTAAATGCTGCTCTTGTAAACGGCAAAAACCTCACCCTCCAAAGAAAGTTGTTAATGCGGTAAGTCAGGTCTTTTGTATACTCAGGCACCTTAATATGTGAAAAATTGCAGAAACCTTTCGTAAAACGAGCTAGCAAAGAGAAAATAAAACCAACACCAATTTCATCTGGATCATTGACCGCTCCTTCTTTCCCAACAGAACTGCTATTCGTACCGCTGGCTCCCACACAAGTAGAGGAAGATCTTGTTACGGTAGGAGATAATAAGCATCAAGTCGTGCTCAAACACATAGGTTTGAATTTAGCCCAGAGATAAAACTCCTGAGAAAGTAGCGAGAAGGCACAAAAGAAGGGATTCAGCTGAACGTACGGATAGTCGCAAGTTATTACCATATCCGGAGGTAAAACCTCCTACCCTTAGCGAAAAGAGAAGACATGAGCGGGAGCTGGAAAGGGACAAGAGAGAAAAGATAGCGTCTGGCTTTTACCAGGTGAAAACCTCGTTGACTAAAGTCTTACTAATGGTTAAAGTATTAGTTTAGTCGCGTTCTGACGAAGATGATACCCTGGAGAAAGTAAGTAGCCTCAAGGAAGAGTTCACAGAGCGCAGTCGGCGACCACGGACGAAGAGAGATAGAAAGCTGAAAAATGAAAAGAAAGATGAAAAAGATTCTCTGGTCGATGCTATGAATTATCCCTCACCTTCTCCTCATTCTGCCCCTCCTCCTGCTCCTCCTCCTCCTCCTCCACATGCTCAACCTCCTGCTCTTCCTCCACAACCTACCTAACGCTCAGATAAGCCCGTTGTGTAATTTAGATGTAAAAAAAG